ATATATATATATATATATATATATAAAAGTTACAGTACTATTTAAATATTAACATAAGATTAAGTACACTTAGTCAATATCTAAATTAACAAAACAACACTGTAGTTGTAGGGTAAATATTATGAATGTAATATTTGACTGCATATATTCAATCTTTAAATCCAAATAGTTGTAGGGTAAAGATCAAGAAATAAAGAGCAGAACATTATTAAATTACATCATTATGTTTAAAATACACTTAGTCAATATCTAAATTAACAAAACAACATTGTAGTTGTAGGGTAAATATTATGAATGTAATATTTGACTGCATATATTCAATCTTTAAATCCAAATAGTTGTAGGGTAAATATTATGAATGTCATATTTGACTGCATATATTCAATCTTTAAATCCATTGGTTGCAAATTCTTAATTCGAATTTAGTTCAGGAATGCATAAGAGAGTCAAATTGCTCCAAAAGGTTATTTTAGAATTGCTCTTGTTATTCAGTAACATTCCTATCAGAAGCGGCAAATTAGATTTGTGAAACTCCTACTAGTCTACCATCTGTAAACATTTTACCCTTCAAAATCTCTATTGCTAGCAGGCATGAATAAGTTACGGGTGTTACATTTTTCAAAAACATAAAGCTAAATGGGTTTCAATTCACCAATGATAACAATACAGTGCAAAACCTATAATGTTTTCAAGGCTGTTATTAAGCCTCCTGAAAAATCCCTTAAATTAAACCTTCCCATTCTGCAGTTGGAGGTTAAACATTAAGAAATCAAAATATCCTAAGGTTATCAGATGAGATTTTGTCAAAGCTATGGATAAAATCTACTTTGTTCTGACAGTGACTCAGGAGAAGTAATTCATTAAAGAATAGAACTGCAGACAAAATCCACTCATTTTCATCTGTTGGCCTCCAGGTGGATTGGGTGGCGGTCTGCATATTTCACCATATATCCATAAGGAAAATCCTGCACATCAAGAAAGTACCTGAACATGGAAGTTGACTTTAGATAATGTCTAATGGCAAAAAATTATTCTTCCAATGAAAATGAAGTCACTTGCCTTTCTTGTTTCTCTTGTCTGTATCAACACACCACCTTGATGGCAAGATAACAGTGTTCCATGTGCCTTCGGTGTATAGTCATGCTGGCCACATGACCACAGAGACTTCTTCGGACAGTGCTGGTTCTTTGGCTTTGAAACGGAGATGAGCACTGCCCCCTAAATTCGGGAACAACTAGCACGTATGTGCGAGAGGAACCTTTACGTTTACCTTATCAACGCAGTAACCACAGCATGAAGAATTTATCTTGAATCAAGCAAAATACATGCATGGCTACTGAGGTATCACATTGGCAATCATTGCTCCTATCATCAAAATAAAGTCTTTGCTATTCTTCCTTTTTAAACAAATGCAAATGACAGCATTAAGACAGAGACTATTGAGGGACTCCAAAGTCTCCAAGGAATTTGATACCAGTTGGATTTGAGTTTCATTGGAGCAGAAGTGCACTCAGACAAAATCTTTTTGAAACACAACAGCATCAAATTAGAAAAAGTTACTTTACAATGCTATTAATCATAAGA